TAAGATAATAATCCACAGTTAATGCGATTCTATTTTACCAGTATTCTAATTTTTGGTTAAAAAAAATTGAATTATGATCGTATTTGACATAGACATATTCGAAGCAAATCATCAAGCGAGAGGAGAATGATAATCATTGAACTTGATTCAGTTCTCCATTTCAAAGTAGGAATGATGAATGCGAATCAATCAAGGTGATTATCACCAGTAAATCTGATACTTTGTCCATAGGTCGAATCCTTCTGAGAAACAAGAATAATAATTTTCTTCAAGACGAAGATTATCTCATTGTCTATATTTTTTCCTCATATTTTAATCTATACTTTGACAAATTGATGCTGCACATTGTTACTTATTGTAGAAAAAGCAACTTTATCCTACTCAATGTTCTTGAATCACTTCTCTTATACTTTTTGGTAATAATTTTTCACATCTCTGAATGAAAACAGCAGTTTATCCTGGATTTTCCTCTCTATGTCATCGATATGTTCTTGGATATAATAGAAATGCGAAAGAATAAGGAAAGATGAAAGTGATTTTCTCATAGAATGTGACGAAAGAAAATATGTCTTCTCCACGGAACACATCTTCTTTAAATTTTCTCACTTTATGTTGCCTATAGAGGAGAGTAAGCACTATCTATGTTTCATTTATATCTTCTTTCGTTCTACTATCATGTTTGAATGAGTACATGTACCTCATTGTAAAAAGTTCAGGTACATTCGTTTTCTTTTTCAATCTTTCTGTTTGGTTCATGTATGTTTTCTCATATTTTCTAGTGATTTATTTTCGTTACAGCTCTTTGAAGCCATGAAACTTTGTATATACATCATAAAAAAACACTTTTATCTGACTAAGAACTGGTTAGTAGTTGATCATTTTCACGAAGTGGACAAATACTAAGCACATTTCTATTTTAACATCGTCCACATGTCTCGATAATAAAAATGTGTAATAATCATAATGTCTTGAATTTATTATTTTCAATCAATTCCGGCAAAGAACACATTGTATTTAATCTCTATAAATGTTTGTACGACATTTTGGAAAGTATACCTCATATATTTGAAACGAAAACTATATTGGATCGTGATGATGAATAGAAAGCGCAAGATTCCGAAAACACATTCACATTAGCATCGATATACCCCCATTTAAGTGAATGTTTCTCGTCTATAAATTCACACACCTATACCTATATTCTGCCTTTTCCGCCTATGATAAAGTGCGCCTGGCTGAAACATCTTTTTTGAAAATTGATTCTGGCCCATTTTAGAATGTTAAAGATACTTGCTTCAAATTTCAAGCAGACAGATGCCATGAAAAGAGTTGCATTGATGGGCCAATGATTCATTGTTCTTGGTGCAACAAGAACGTGATTCACTCTTTTTTCAAATTATAATCATCATTAGACTGATCAATTCTTTTCTTGATTTTTTATTTTATTCTCATTTTTCGTATCATTGTAATTTCCTTATTAAGAAAAATGTTAGGCAAAGATCTTCTTTTTTTATACGATAAGTAGCAAGGTGTCAGATGAGTTCATAAAAAATTAGCTCGTGAAAACCTTCCTTTATTGAGATATAGCCAATAGTACGAATTCTTTTTGATATTTTTCTATTCCATGAGTTCAACTGACGAGACAACTTTGAGCTCAAACAACAAGTACATATATTTATGAGTATGACTTTCATATTACTAAGGTTACCAGTAAGTGGTAAGCACTACTTGCCAGTGAGGACATATTGGTCAGTTTGATTTTTGTCTCAAACAAAGCCTCTTTTATGAACGTTGATCCAAAATGTTCTAAAAGCATGAAATCCAAAGAAAGAACACATAAGAAAACGAATTTGCCTACATCATAATTTTCGAAACACGTCTATAACGGCTGAGGCAGATAAAATGGCTACACTTTGCATTTCAATTTTCAATTACTTAATACCAGGTTACATTTGCTTTGCAAATGGGCAAGATTTTGAGCGATCGAATTTCGATCGTGAGAAAAATTGTCGCACAAAATTTTGTTGCTTTCGAATACAAATACAATAAGCTTTACTGTGTAAGTTTTGGAGCTTTTCACGGTGCATCTAGTAGTATATTTTGTTGTTTTCAACTAAAAACTATCAGATGATAAAAAGATAATATAAGAAAAAAACGAATTCATCTTGTACAAAGAAAATTTTGTTTTCGCATGGTCGAAATCAGATATCTCGAAATTCTGTGCATTTTGAAAGAAAAAAGTACAACGGTTAAAAAAGCTGGTCCAGGTAAATCGTAGAGTTTTTCACGTTGCATCTTCTGGTATATTTTATCTTTTTAATACAACATATTAAGTGAGTAAAAATTAAAATACAATATGTAGCCATCCAATCTGTCTCATAGGTTATTTCGATGCAGAATGAGACAGCGAATCATTGGACATCGCATTTAATCTGTTTAGAAAGGCAATCAATGGTTCCTAATCCAGATTAATATATCATATTGTCAGTGTACCCTAACGGCTATATCCAACAATAAGATAACTATAAGCTGAATTTACGATGAACTAATAGTGTTTCTATAGGGTTTGATGCAGTTTTTGACGGACTAGCCGTTGGGGTAGTTTTCTTCTAGTTATTTTATTAGCTAAAGCCTTTCAAGGTTTGATCGTGCCTAAAACTGCAACCATAAGTGCTGCCATTTCCGAAGAACCTATGGTATCCATATTAATAGAACAGAAGCCGATTATGTGGCTTTCTGGAACCGATCTAAGATGAATATTGGAGGTTTCTCATCTGTGTAATTATGATATCTACCAGAAAATTGTACCAGCGTGTAGTCTATCAAAAACTGCATCAAACTTTGAAGGGGACAGTCCATCGTAAAGCCGTCTCCAAAGCAATTAAGAAGCCAGAACCTTCCTGACATACCAGAAATATCGATAGAAACACTAGTATGTCGACCTAACGTCAGCTTTTCATCTGAGAATTTTTAGATAATTTACTGGTCTTTCAAATGAGACTATTTATAGGCAGGTGAACAAATGTTTTCACAAAGTTATTGTTAGTGTACAGCCATCTGACTGCAGTAAAAATATAGGATTGTAATCTGTCTCAGAAGTCATTGAATCGTTTTTCAAATAGATGATCTGTCTTTTTATGCGTCTTCCTCATTTGTTCGTAGCTTTTCGAAATGTGTAATATTAAGCTTTTTTCTCTGGAAGGACTATATCTCGAAAATAACGATACTACAAACTTTGAGAAACAATGAATGGATTCACATTTCTCAACTCCAAAGTCATTTGATCAAGCTTGAAACACAGAGTTATTTTTGTAAAGTAAGTTTCTTTGGAGCGAAAAATTAAACTGCCACATTTTCCATTACCAAATAAGATAACCTGTCCGTAATATTAATTCGCCGTTTCAGCCGTCTAACCAAATAAAAAGCACTTATCAATTACCCGAAACCATCATATAGCTATGCAGGTCATATTGTAACATTGAAGTATGATCACGATGTTCAACTTTAGAGATTAATCATCACTCAACTCATCAAGTGATAACTGTTAAGAAACTGTCAGTGTTCTATTCATTGCGTAATCTCGAACACTCGTAAAAAAACTTGTTATATTCTAATTGCTGTTGTTAGTCAACAATGCGTGATATTCATGACGCAATGGCAAGAGTTTTGCAACAAGGACATACTGACATTCATTTGATTTCGAAACGGTTCGAAATTATCATCCTTATGTTATAATTGTAGGTAATGACGTGTCCTCGAAGAATCCGTAAGATAGGAACGAATGTGGTTTTGAACTCTTAGTTAGGGAGAGTTCATAATTCGTTTTCTCATCATGTTAGCTACTGTCTCTGTTCTTCCTCAGTCACTAGAAGTTTCGCGAGACTCAACGATGTTCTATTGAAAAGTGCTGATTCTCATTCAGATTTGTTTGTAATAATCTGACTATTCTAAATAGCAAATCATCAGGATTATCGAAGTCTGATACGATCGATTAGGAATAGCTAAATCATAGTAACTGATCAGTCTTTATTTCTTTGTTCTTGCGTTACTTAGTTCCAAAATGTGAACTTAATTTTAAAGCAACGGCCCAAAATCCAATTAACTATAAGTACGGTCCACGAGCAGTGGCCATGGGAGACTTCAACAACGATACCTCGCTAGATATTATTGTTGCCAATTATGCTGCTGACAATATAGCCATATATTTTGGACATGGCGATGGCACTGTGGCAAGCCCAGTCATGTTTTCAACTGGTTATGGCTCTGCTCCGTACATGATGGCTGTTGGTGATTTTGACAACGATCATCGCCTGGATGTCGCTATCGCAAATTTTGGCACAAATAGCATCGGTGTACTTTTTGGATTTCAAAATGGGTCTTTTGCAAACAAAACAGTTCTATCAACTGAATCAGCTCGTCCTGTTTGGATTCATGTGGCAGATCTTAACAATGATACAGCACTCGATATTGTCACTGCTAATTACGGCACACACAGTGTTAGCATATTTTATGGATATGGGAATGCAAGCTTTTCAAACCCAAGCACATACTCTACAGGCTACGATTCTTTCTCGTTAACGGTTGTTAGTGGCGATTTCAACAACGACAAACAGATGGATCTTGCAATCGCCAATTATGGTACCAATAATGTCGGTATCATGCTTGGTACTAGTAACGGCACTTTCGCAAAGCAAATCACGTTCTCAACTGGTCTTAATTCCCATCCTTACTCGATTATCGTTGGTCATCTAAACGATGACAACATGCTAGATATTGCCGTTACCAATCATGGAAATAACAGCGTGGGTATACTTCTTGGGAATGACAACGGAACTTTTATAAGACAAACGACATATTCGCTCGGCACGGCTTCTCCATATTCTATTGGCATTGGTGCCTTCAACAACGACAATCGAATTGATTTAGTCGTTACCAATAATGGCACTGACAATATAGCTCTACTTGTCGGATATGGCAACGGTACCTTTGCAAGCGCAAAAATGTATTCAACTAGATCTTCTTCATCAATCTCCATTGCCATAGGTGATTTAAACAAAGATAATCGTTTGGACATTACCTTCATCAACAATAATACGGGCACTATAGGTATTATGCTTGGCTATGATGAGTTTTTTCCAATTCAAACGACATATGCAACTGGCACTGAACCATACTGTGTAGCTGTTGGTGATTTCAACCATGACGCCCGGCTAGATATTGTAGTTGCTAATAGGGACAGCAACACTGTAGGTGTACTTTTGGGATATGGAAATGGCTCTTTTGAAAATCAAGCGACATATTCAACTGGCTCTAATCCATGGTCTGTAGCTGTTGGTGATTTTAACAACGACATCAATCTGGATATCGTCGTCGCTAATGCTCATGACAATACTGTCAGTGTACTTCTCGGATACGGTGATGGCTCTTTTGCAAATCAAACGACATATTCAACTGACTCTTACCCGTTATCTGTAGCTGTTGGTGATTTTAACAACGACAACCATCTGGATATCGTTGTTGCTAATTATGATGGCAATACTTTAAGTGTACTTCTCGGATATGGTGATGGCTCTTTTGCAAATCAAATGACATATTCAACTGGCTCTGACCCACAAGCTGTAGCTGTTGGTGATTTTAACAACGACATCCATCTGGATATCGTCGTTGCTAATTTTGATGACAACACTATAAGTGTACTTATCGGATATGGTAATGGCTCTTTCGCGAATCAAACGAAATATTCAACTGGCTCTAGCCCAATAGCTCTAGCTGTTGGTGATTTTAATAATGACAACCAACTGGACATCGTCGTTGTTAATCGGGATGACAACACTGTAAGTGTCCTTCTCGGATATGGCGATGGTTCTTTTGCAAATCAAACGACATATTCAACTGGCTCTGGCCCAATTTCTGTAGCTGTTGGTGATTTTAACAACGACACCCAATTGGATATCGTCGTTGCTAATTTTGGTGGCAACACTGTAAGTGTACTTCTAGGAAATAGCAATGGCTCTTTTGCAAGTCAAACGACATATTCAACTGGCTCTAACCCACATGCTGTAGCTGTTGGTGATTTTAACAACGACACTCGTCTGGATGTTGTCGGCGCTAATTTTAATGACGAAACTGTAGGTGTACTACTTCGGTATGACAAAGGAGCTCTGGAAGATAAAATCACATTTGCGCCTACCTATGGTTCTCGTTTGCGAAACTTTGCCCTTTTTGATTTCAATAACGATAGCCTAATGGATATCGCCGTTGTCAATTATGGTACTAATAACATAGGTGTCCTTCTTGGATATAAAAATGGCACTTTTGGAAATCAAATGGTGCTCTCAACAGGCTTAAATTCTCATCCTTACTCCATCACAATCCATGATTTCAATAGAGACGGTCAAGCAGATATAGCCGTGGCCAATAATGGTACTAAAAATCTTGTTACGTTTCTTGGAAGTGGAAATGGAACATTTGAAGATCAAGGACGTTACGGTGTAGATTTCGATTTCGCTCCATTGATTATTGGTGCCAATAGTTTTGACAAAAATGGGCGTTCAGAAATTTTCGTTGCATATGATGACATCGATTATGTAGATGTGCTGGTTACATACGACATCGGATCTTTCAGTAATCACATTAAATATTCAACTGGGAATTGGCCCCGATTTGTAGCTCTTGGCGATTTTAATAACGATACCCAACTGGATATCGTCATCGCTAATCGGTACGACAATAATGTAAGTATCCTTCTCGGATATGGAAATGGTTCTTTCACTAATCAAACGACCTACTCAACTGGCTCTCAGCCATGGTCTGTAGCTGTTGGCGATTTTAACAACGACACCAATCTGGATATCGTCGTTACTAATTTTGGTGGCAATACTGTAAGTGTCCTTCTCGGATATGGCAATGGCTCTTTTGCAAATCAAACGACATATTCAACTGGCTCTGGCCCAATTTCTGTAACTGTTGGTGATTTTAACAACGACACCCGACCGGATATCGTTGTTGCTAATTATCATGGTAATACTTTAAGTGTACTTCTCGGATATGAAAATGGCTCTTTTGCAAATCAAACGACATTTTCAACTGGCTCTACCCCATACTCTGTAGCTGTTGGTGATTTTAACAAGGACACTCGACCGGATCTCGTCGTTACTAATCTTGGTGGCAATACTGTAAGTGTCCTTCTCGGATATGGCAATGGCTCTTTTGCAAATCAAACGAAATATTCAAGTGGCTCTGCCCCATACTCTGTAGCTGTTGGTGATTTTAATAATGACAACCGACTGGATATTGTCGTCGCTAATTGGAATAACAACACTATGAGTGTCCTTCTTGGATATGGCAATGGTGTTTTTGCAAATCAAATGATCTATTCAACGGGCACTAGTCCTTCATCTGTAGCTGTTGGCGATTTTAATAATGACACCCGACTAGATATCATCGTCTCTAATGGTAATGGGCAAAGTGTCAGTATATATCTGGGATATCCTAATGAAGGCTTTTTTAAGCAAATGAGACTCATAACTCGCAATGGATCTCGCCCTAAGTCATTCGCCATTGGAGATTTTAACAATGATGGTCAAATAGATATTGCAGTTGCAAATTCAGGCACTAACGACATCAGTATTTTCCTGAGACACGCCAATGGTTCTTTCGGAAATCAAATGGCATATGCAACTGATTCCTCTCCGTGGTCGGTAGCTGTTGGTGATTTCAACAACGATACCCTACTTGATGTTGTCGTCGCGAATCTTGACAGTGACAATGTTGGTATATTTCTTGGATGGGGTAATGGTTTCTTTTCAAGCCAGAAAACGTTTTCGACCGGTTTAAACTCGCAACCAAACGCGGTTGCTGTTGGCGATTTCAACAACGATACCTTGCTAGACATTATTGTTGCTAATTATGACACAAACAACATAGGTGTGTTGCTTGGCTATGGCAACGGTTCCTTCACAAGTGTTAAGCTTTTTTCAACCGGTTATGGATCTCTTCCGTTCTCGGTTTCTGTTGATGATTTAGACAACGATGGAAAATTGGATTTCGTCGTCGCCAATGAAGGTGCTGACAATTTAAACATTTTTTTACAGACCTGTTAAGATTACCATTGCTGGTTTAAGCTTTTTTTTCATTGATTCATTACTCCTAACTTCTACTTAGCGCTACTAATATTTCTTCTAACTGTTTTTGTGTGTGAGTATACGTTGAGACTTAAAATATTTTACATCAAGATAAGAAATATCAAGTGAAGCTATGACAATACGTGTAAATTTGGCAAAGAATCTCGCCAGATGCACGGCATGGATATGCCAAGCACATGATGATGTGTTTCGCTCTTGCTTAATGCTCTCATCATATGATGAGACAAGAGTTTCTTTTCGAGTGGTATTAAGATCGTAGAAGCGAGAGATAATCTACAGGGTGGTAAATAATATTATTCCAGGGGGGTAACACTATGATCTCGAATCGGAGATATCATGAATTTTATACCAAATGAAAGCTCGTGAAAAATGGGGTTTAGTGATAGTAAATAGTAAGACTTTGAAGAACTTTCTTGTATTAATTTATCAAACGTTACGATTTTTATCGACATAAAATATTATAAAATCAGTTCATCGAAAAAGTTCGGGGCTAAACTATATGTTGTACAACTGTTTATTTTCTTATTATTTATTGAGTACAATCAATAATCAGTATGACGACCATTAGCACTCTTTACTGCACGAAGTCGAGATGGATACGAACATAAAAGAGCTTCAAACAATTCGGTATTTTCTTCCATGTCCGTCAAAACATCCGCAATGTGCTTTTTAAGTGTGTCTTCACTATATCGATTATGTCCAGTTTCCGATAACATTTTTTGTTCAACTTCATCTTTCATTATTGATCCAATATGTTCCGCCGCATTGAGATCGGGCGAATTACCAGGCCAAATATCATTGCCCCAAAACTCGATTTTGTTATCTCTAATCAGATGTTGAGTCATGTTTGCTCGCATACACGGTGCTTTATCGTGAACAAATATCACATTATCCAGATCAATTACGTTTTCCTCGTCGGTGAGGAATGGAAATACGTGTTGCATTAAAATAATGTCACGAAAATATTGACCGGTCCAAGATTCACCTTTGTCTTTAATCACCCAATGCATTTTTTTCGCGGTGAAAATGATAAAAATACCGATACACGCTTGGTTTTTAACCATTTCGCGATACCTTTCATCGTCTTCAATATCTTCAACACTTTTTGCCCAAATCCTATCATTTTGATAATTTGGTTTGCGAACTGTCCAAACATAAAATTCATCTGATGGTGCCAGATGAAGAAAATCTTCTTCAGTCCAATCTTTCAACCAATCACAGAGCCATAATCGATCTGATATATGAGTTTCAGATTTTAACGGTCTTGAAATAACATGAAAAGGCTTTAATCCTTCCCTACGACGGTAGTTATTAACTGTTTGTCGAGTAACATATTCTTTTTGTTTCTTTGCAATCTCTTTCGCCACGACAGAACCGCTTTTCCGTTGGTGACCACTTGCTTCACGAATAATGTCCTGAGCAGCTCTCGATAACTTGAGTTTAGGACCAGCATTCGAATAATCAGCAAAACATTGGTCACACGATTTTTCCCACCATTCTGTAACAAATCGAGTCGTACGGTGAATTTTGTCGGCAATCCATTGTCTATTTATAAATGTTGCACCAGCATCACGAGCTTCTCGGAAAGTAATGCATTTAATTCTATCAATCATTCTTTGTTGTTCGGTATCATAAGCGCCAGCCATTTGAAATAACAAACGAAAAAACACTGAGATTTCACTCGACTATAACTTTCAGACAGTCCGAGAACGAAAAAATTTTTCAAATAACTAGTATCACGTGGAGAGAAGAACAGAACGCCAAAGAACCATCTTATTGTGTGAGTCATAGTCATATATCATCATCGTTATCATTTCTCTTTCGTTTTCATAAAAAATGTTCGTTTTCAATGTCTCAAAATGTATGAAAAATGATTTTTAACGTGTTTTTGAAAGAAAATTTCGTTGTTTTTAAAAATTTGGTACACGAAAGTTCTTCAAAGTCTTACTATTTACTATCACTAAACCCCATTTTTCACGGGCTTTCATTTGGTATAAAATTCATGATATCTCCGATTCGAGATCATACTGTTACCCCCCTGGAATAATATTATTTACCACCCTGTACAATTAGCTTTTATAGTTTTTTTCGAGACATAAAGGAAATTATATTTGACTGTTAACGTGTTCCTGTGCGGCTTGGCGAATAAGGGAAAAATTGTTTGTATGGGGCATCGGTATTCTTTTGTAAAATCTGGTTCATTGTGGTTGTGTATAAAATTGAGTTTTTAGATTGCGAAGCATCCTTACGACGCGTTTCAGCCTTGCTTAAAGGCCACTCATCAGTTTTGTCATAACTATGATTTGCTTACAGTGATTGCTTATATATTGCTATTACGTGTTTGCGATTATTGTTTGTAGATATTGTCTTGATTAGTATATATCTAGAATATATGAAAGTATGAAATACGTCTGGTTTCAAAGTGAACATATATCAAATAAAAGAAAGAAAGAAAAAGGAAAAATAACGAAACATGAACTAGAATATAGTACCGGTTCACATGTTCAATGGTCAATGGTCAAATACCTGAGCTTAAATAATGAAAAATGTAATAAATGGTCGTATTCGACATGTTGCACGCATTTAACAGAAAAATAAACAGGAAGAAAAAAAAATAATGTTCATCTAGTAACAAGATCTAATGATAATAACAGAATATCCTCTATTGAGAAGAAAACTGAAAAAGAAGCGAACAAACAAGAAGGAAACACTCTTCACAATTGGGGTGCCTGAAAGAAACAAATGTTAATGATTAAACCGTTCTTTCATTGTTGTACGAGCTGCTTCTGTGTTTGGTTGCATCCTGGTCAACATATCTTGTCGAGGCTATTTGGGTATCAAAAGACTTTGTAAAGTACGATTTAATATTGTACCAAGAATTGGTCGTGTATTTTTGAAATGTGATCTTGGATAAACAGAACTTTTGCGATATTTGATGATATTCTTTTTTGAAATTTAATAATGGTCCATTTTCGAACGTGTAATGAAGATAAATTTGATCTTGATGTTCATAGTTTTTCGTTTTTCGAATTAATTGACCAAGACTCGAAATTTGTGTTTTGTTTTCTCTTTTTGTTGGGGTGTAAAGTAACATATTATGTAGTTGTTGATACACTTCCCTTTTTAATTCAGTCCATACACTCATAGAATCATATTTAACAAAGAATTTTTTTATATGATGTTGTATAAATTTTGGTGGATAACCGTTAACTAGTAATATCATTTCCGTACTTAATCGTTCCATATCAAAATCTTCCACATTGGAACAGTTAAGTGCAGCTTGCGCTAATGCAGCATAAATTATATTCGCATGAATGTGTCTTGGATGATCAGATTCATAAGGTAGAATATAGGATTCTGAAGCTGATTTATGATAAATAGATATTTTTAAATGTCCATTATTATTTTCAACAGTGACATCAAGATATTCTAATGATTGACTAATAGTAGTATTAATTGTAAAATTTGAATCTGTTTTAATGGTTTCATCAAGTTCTTTCAAAATATCTTCTTTGAATACATTGGTTGCCATAAATACGTCGTCAATATATCTATAAATATTTATGATTATTAGAGTAAAAAAAAAGTAACTAATAAATGCAAAATTGACCGTCCATAAATTTCATGATGTCTATTTTAGTGGTGAATTAATTTTTGCTCCTATTCTAACGTATAAATATTTGCTAAAACCATAGTAAATAGTGAACCCATAGCTAGGGGTCGGCAGTTACCGTTCCCAGACCGTTACCCGGTAACGGTAACGGTAACCGTTCACATGGAAGAAGTTACCAGTTACCTGGGTAACGGTAACGGTTCCGTTACCAGTTACCCGGGAACTGGTGACGGTTCCGTTACCAGTTACCCGGGAACTGGTGACGGTTCCGTTACCAGTTCCCGGGTAACTGGAAACGGTGCCGTTACCAGTTACCCGGGAACGGTAACGGCCAGTTACCAGTTACCCGAGAACGGGGTAACGGTAGTGCTATTGCAGAACACCTATCGATCCTCAAGTCCTACTATTGGGGAATACCCTTGGCTCCTCAAGTCCTACCATCCGGGTTACTCTTGGGTCCTCAAGTCCTACCATCCGGGGTACTCTTGCGTTCTCAAGTCTGACTACTGAAAGGTACCCAAGGGGGTTCAAACTTTTTGCCCCTATTGCGAGGACAAGTGATGGGCATGTTCGGGCCAAGCAGAGGGTTATCGAGGATGCTCTATCGATTGATGGGTTTATCTAGGGGACTCCGCCAATCCCATCACTGAGAAATAGAATTCCGCTATTTGATTGGTCCAAAAATAGACCAATCAGATTTCAGGAGCCCTTTTTTCTCTTATTGTTCGGACAAGGCATAGCCATGTTCGGGCCAATCATAGGGTTATCGAGGATGCTCTATCAATTGATGGGCATATGTATGGGCTCCTACTCAGTTCCATACGGCGAATATACTGCTTAGGCATTTGGCCTCAAGGACCCAAGGGTACCCCCAATAATAGAACTTGAAGACCCAAGGGTACCCTCCAAGAATAGGACTTGAGGACGTAAGGGTGTCTCCCATTAATAGGACTTGGGGGTCAAAGGGTCCCCCCTAATAATAGGACTTGAGGACCCAACGGTACTCCCCATTAATAGGGCTTGAGGACCTAAGGGTGTCTCCCAATGGTAGCACTTGAGGACCTAAGGGTATCCCCAATAGTAGGACTTGAGGACCTAAGGGTATCCCCCAATAGTACGACTTTAGGATCTAAAGGTGGCCCCAATTGTAGTAGCGTTACCCCGTTCCCGGGTAACTGGTAACGGGACCCTTACCCGGGAACGGTAACGGTAACTGCCAACCCCTACCCATAGCACCACTTTTAATGGATTATATGCCTTATTTGAATTTCCGGACATTCCTATAGTTTCCTGTTTATCAAGATATAGGAGGTATAGGAATTGAGTTTTTCGAGCAAGGGTTGGCAAGTGACATCAATATATTTGATGAATAGATGTTTAAATTCAAATTCTATCGAATGATCATCTGTACCAATTAATCAATATCTCCAATATCTCTTATACCTCCTCGATATCCATCAACAGATAATGATACAAGCTACCGGAAATTCAAATAAGGCATCATACGCTTTAATTTGTCGATAATACATATCTTTATAAGCAAATGAATTGGTATCTAAAACAACACATGCTAGTTGAATCATAGTTTATATTTTGAGATTTCCAATTTTTCCATTTATTGAATAGTTTTTACAGAATCGAGTTAAAGCAGCAATACGCCATCATGTAGTATCATTGTGTATAAATCAGCAACATCAAAAGTTATAGATAATGTTGTTCAGGTGAGATAACCTTTTTGTTGACATTCTTCTAATTGTCGAATCACATCTGTACTATTGATGAATGTAATATCTTTTGTCACATAATTATAAATTGGAGAAAGAAGTTGATCAAGAAAACTGGATATTTGTCTAGCAGGTGCATTAATTGAAGCAAGGATAGGTCAAACTGATAGTTCTGGGCATAAGAAACGTATGATAGAAAAAATGTTTAGATAACAAACTAACGATTTTACCTTATGTACTTTAAGATTGAAATAAATATGAGCAAATTTTAATGTATTTAGATTTGAATATATTTGTTTGTATTGATCTTTCGTTATTTTTTACGCTTTAATAGATCATCAAGTAAAGTGAACACAGAACGTAAATAATCTGCCAATGGATAAATGCCACTGGTGATTTCTTGATATGCGTTTGTTTTTGTCATATAACTTTTAATTTTTTCATCATATTCATGTGGATTAATAAAGAAAAATAATTTGCTTTTATCAGTTTGTCAGACAGCAATATTAGCTTTGCATAATTGTCGTTGCATTGATTTTATCATTTTGTACATATATCGAGCATGTCTTTCAAGTTTTTTTGGCATTGGTTTCGTATATAGCTGTTGAAGTAAATTTTTTATTACAGCAAAATATTCAATAGCATGTGTATCACGCATTGAAAACATGTAATCGGTAAGATTTTTAACATTTTCATTATAGAGGCGATTGTATGCTCGTTCAATAATTTTTTCCATACGTTGCCGATAAAAGAAATGCCTCTATTTCAAATTTATAAAATGTATTACAATCCGTCTCGGGTTTGATCTGATTCGCTATCAATATTGCCTAGCGATCGTCTTTACCTAACTACAGGCCAACAGACAGTTTATATTTTAATGTTTCTAAAATGATAGAAATGAGATTAGAACAAGTAAACTAGCGAGTAGAAAGCAAGTGTACATACACCATTGAACCACATGTGATCACATTACTTGTAGGATGAAACAGAATCTATATATGCATCGTCTATTATAAACTTATTCACAGATACATGTGTCAATGAGATGCTGTGTATATTTATTAATTATTGCTGTGTACAAAAATATACTTATTTCTCCAAAAAAAAAAGAGGTTGCATTAGATAAATCCAACTACATGATTTTAAAAACATCTAATTATGGAAACTATTCGTTTTGAAAAAAAAATTTGGTTATATTATTTCTAAAATTTCATTATTTTCAATTTTAGAGTACCAATGTTTTAAGGATTAAAATACATATACATTCTGTCTTTCTTGAGAAAAAGAACTCTAAACTTTTTGAGAACTCTATATACTTCAAACTAAATTAATTTTTTAAAAAAAACTGTGATATACATTTTCTAGTGAATAGAAAACGAATCTTTTACTTAGGGTTAGCCAAAAGTAATGTCGGAGATACCTTATTCTCTTTTAAGACGATCAAAAAAAATTCTTTTTTTACAGAACGATAGAGAAAACGAAGCTCTATTTTTCTATACTATTTGATCCCTATCTAACTAGCATTAAACTGATCAAATTTCGAGCAAAACTATCATCGCATCAAATTTAACTTTGGTAATACGTAATATTTTCGTCCATTTCTAGATTATTTTTCTCTCTCTGTTCTTCGTTTCTGTTTTCTTTCTTCTTTTTTTCGTCTCTTCTGACACTGAGCCGTGCATCGAATCCCACTAGTTACGAGTGCACATATTTTGCTCGTATAGTACGGAGAAAGTCAAACGACAAAAGTCGAATTACACTCTAGCATTTTAATTACTCCAAATGAGCAAGGAAAATATTCGGTTCTACATTCAAATGCGTGCTGCTCTCAATATTCAACCAAGAGTTATTCATGAAGAATTGTACTCTGTTCATGGCGATCAGGCTCCTTGTCTTAGAACAGTTGAAAGATGGTTTCAACGATTCCGTGAAGGTCAAGTAGAGCTGGATGATGAAGCACGATCTGGCAGACCCATTGCTGTAACAACTCCTGATAATATCGAACAAGTCCGTCTGATCATTGATGATGATTCTCGTGTGACGATAGAAGAAATACAAGAGCAAACTGGTCTAACCTATGGCACTACTCGGCGAATCATCAAGGACCATTTGCAACTTACCAAAATCACCGCTCGTTATATACCGAAGGAACTCACTGATTTCCAACGGAACGAACGAGTTCGAATATGTAAAGAAAATTTAAAGATGGAACGTGGCGTTTATGTAATGTAGTGACAGGTGACGAGTCTTGGTTTTTTCACAAGCAAACCGGTCGAAAATCATCAAATGCTGCTTGGGTGGCAAAAGGTGATGCTCCACCTACAGTACCTCGTCGCGACCGATTTGCTCCAAGAACGTTATTTTCCATTTTTTTCAAATCAACTGGTCCGCTATTGATTCATCACGTGGAACGAGGCCAAACTATCGACCATGAATATTATATTGACAACTGCTTGCAACCTCTTGTGGAAGAAATCAAGCACCAACGACCTTCGTACGGTACAAATCGTATTCTGCTCCACCATGATAATGGCAAGCCGCATATCCATCAGTACGTGTCTGATTATCTTGAATCGGAAGGTCTTACAATCATACCCCATCCACCGAATTCTCCCGATTTATCACCATGCGATTTCTGGCTATTCGATTTGATCAAACTAAACTTAAGCGATCAAACCGATTCTCAATCATTACATGACGCTATAACTGAGTTTATGTACTCGTTGGATAAGGAAGAATATCGAAAAACGTTTGATAAATGGATGGAGAGAATGCAGTTGTGTGTAGATAATCAAGGTGACTACTTTGAACATTTGATGAAATAAAGTTTTTTTCGATTTGCTTACATCTCATTTTCTTTCGATCACCATTCTTTTTGTATGCATTTATAAGAATATGCGAGAAAACTCGATGAATGATGAGAAAAAAACAACAGAA